AAAAAAAAAAAAAAAACATATCAACTCTGAAATGCTAAATGAGATCAGTCATTTGGTGTTTAACGCGTGAGTCAATTAGGCAGCTTTTTTTAATGTGTATGTGTTAGTCCCCATAGGGAAATAGTTCCTCTGCATTTAACCCATTCACCCAGTGAAGCAGTGGGCAGCCACCAATGCAGCGCCCGGGGAGCAGTGTGAAGGGACGGTACCTTGCTCAGGGGTAGGGATGGGTATCGTTTAGGTTTTATCCGATACCAGTACCAAACCGGTACTTTTGAAACTGTGCCAGTGCTTAAACCGGTGCTTAAAGAATAGAGAACACATAATTGGTCCAAAACACTCTCATGTTCAGCTGTTTTTTTTTGTAAAAAGATAACAATGTTAGCCTTTTCTGCAGCTATAGCGGATTTATGGCATCACTCTTGGCTGGAAGCAGTGCTTAATCAATGGAAAAAATACAAACTTTGTCCAAAAACCTCTCATGTTTAGCTGTTTTCCACTTTTTCTTTGGTCATTTTAGCCTTTTTGGCCAGGGTGAAGGGAGTATCTGCCATCAAACAAGAAGACAGCCACATGTAACTACGACGGTGTTTGCTAGTTCACCTTACATGCCTTCATGTAATAACGTGGTTAGCCTACTCAACGTAAATTACACACGAACAACATTAAGCTACTCACGCAGAGAAGAATGGCTGCTGCTGCCATCATCATCCGTCATCATCCTGCTACACTGGCAGGGCTAGGGGCCAGGACTCTACTCTTCGGGTTTTTTGCAGATGTTGCTAACTCCGGGTCCGATAACAGGCATCACACCCGCAGTAGATGTGCTCAATGTGAGGTCTCGCAGCAAGCTATCAAATACGGCGCATTTCTCAGCTTTTAAAAAACGCTAGGTGCGTCGCCAGGTGTTTCATCAGTTTCGAGGTGTTACCTCCTTTGCACAGTATCAGCTTAAAGCACTTGTTGCTGCTGAGTTTGCATATTTTGCTGTGAAGTACAGCCAGACTTTGACCGCTTCGCTTTGGGCATTTTTAATCTGTAGCTCTGCTCTACAAGAACGTATGTACCTGGGCCCGCCTACTACGCTCGCAAAGGTAAAATGATTGGCTGGAATCCAAAGTGTATGACATCTCAGGAAAAAAAGCACTGAAATAAAACACCGAAACGTGCGCTTCCTTTCAGTCTGGTTACTACCGTTTATGTCAGAACCGGTGCCGTAATGGCACCGGATACCGGTACCCATCCCTACTCAGGGGTACCTCAGGGTAGCCGTTCAGTGGAGTCGAACCCCCGACCTTCCGATCATGGGGCCACCACTCTACCTACTGAGCTATACCTGCATTCAGCCTATCTCAGTTAGAACTGCTTTAAAACCCCGTATTATAAGTGTTTACATTGCACAAGATTAAAAGACATATTTTAAATAGCAGAGGTTTCTTAAGCACTCAGATTTTTGTAAACAGTGAAAGTGATGGGAGACAAAGAGAGAGAAAAATTCTCACTGGCCTTGACAAGCACAGAGTGAGGGAGGTGGTACAGCATGTTTTCACTGCTATTCAAAAGTGTGGGGTCACACAGAAAAATTCACATTTTTCAAAGACTCGCCTTAATCCTTAAATGAATAGAAAATACAGTGAAGAAATCAAGGTTACCCACAATGAGAAGTTCATCCTTCCAACTCTGGTTTCATTAAACACACCTTTGCAGAGCAGTTTGTTAAAGTAATATGGAAACCTTCCCCCCACGCTTCCTACAGTAAACTAAGTCACTTCCCACAGCAACTCAGGGACTGGTCACTCTGTTATCACAGAATAGCAGCTTACTGCATCTTCTCCAAAGAGATATACAGAAATCTTCCCAGAACAGAGTAAACTCTCTGCTATGAAGTCTTAAGGATCTTAAATTTGGGGGGGGGGGGTCCATTTCCTTGGATGGAATAGTCCTGGTTTTTTAGAACAAGAAGACTTAAGTTTTAGAAAAGGGCTCTTTTGGGGCCGTTATGAGACTGCAACTGACTCATGCAGACTAATGCTTCACACACTCGACTAGCCAAATTTAAATTGTTCCTTTGGAGGTATAATCATTCATTTTTGGAAGTTATTTGATGCTGAAAAAACCCAGAATGTTGTAACTATGCATTAATAAGTGTGTAATTCAATTTTCCAACAATTTTATGTATTCTCATAAACTTAGTGTCCAAGCCCAATAATGTTAGGTCAATTTCAAAGAAAGTTTCACTAACACTGGCTAACAGCAGCTAACAGTAGCAGAAACAGGAGTGCTTACCGATAGAAAAGTTCAATCTATCCTCAACAACTCACCTGGCTATGGCTGCCATTGGACAGAAGTGAGATTCACTGCCTTCTAGCAGACTCCTTTCACAAAATTTTACATCCAAAATAATGTAAAAATAAAATAAAATAAAATTTAAGTGACCCAAAACTTTTTAGAAATCTTTTATAAGTTTAGCTCATGTCAGTGTCCGAAAGTCTGAATGACTGGCAAGTACACGTGTTTGGGTAAAGGTGAAGACTGGTCTAAACCAGCAATGACTGTTATTATTAATTATTTTCCCTCTCAAATAAAAAAGATGAAGTACACATGTCATTTATTGAATGCACATAGTTATTAAAAATGTTGGGATAGTAACTGCTGCTGTTTCTGTGTATTGTGTCTATAAAACATCAATAAAGCACTGTTCCCTATTAAATAGTGAAATAAGTGTTACGTGAATTTTTTTAGATAATCTCACCTGCTCTTCTTCCTCTTCTGCTTGGCCCTCCTGACAGTGGAGATAAGATAGCATTAGAGACATCAGAGACCACACACACACACACACACACACACACGACAGAGTGAGGAGTTTCTGGGGACCCTATACTAACACACCTTGACCAGGATAGTTAACAGTAAGTGAATTGTGTCATCAACTCAAAAACCAAACATAAGACACCTAATGGAATTGACAGAAAGGCAATAATAAATAAATTAAACATCCACTGGCAATGATGAGACGTGTAAGAATGATGATTAGGGATCTCGGCGAGGTGAATTAGTAAATTACTGAGTCCAGGGAAGGAGACTTGAGGAGAAGATGCAGATACAAGGTTGACAGGAACTTGAAAATGAGGGAAACCTTAAATGTGGAGTAAAGGAGGAGATTAAAGGGAAAACAAGGATTCTGAGTGGAAGAAATTGGCATTCCAAGGATGGAGGCAGAGGAAAAACGAAGGGAGATTAGGGTCTAGTTAAGGCGCAATTACAGTGTCTTCTGTGACCTCGTCTGTTTCTTCCACTGCTGCTTCCTCCTCCTCCTTCACTGTGGGGGCTTCGTCTCCTACCGATTCTGCAGTCTCTTCCTTTGCTGCCCCCTCCTGTTCCTCCTCATCACCCTCACCTTCTTCATTCTCATCAGTGGCCTGCTTCACCTCTTTATTTGAATCCCCATTACGATCCTCCACTGGAACCTTGTTATTGTAAGGTGTAAACAATAGTGTGTGAAAGAAGAAATACACAAAGAAATAAAAAAAAATCTGATATACTACTTCAGGCACTGCTTTAGCAGCATTACGATGGTTGGCTCATCAGATGGAAAGGTTTATGAACTCAAAACAATGATGTTAGCCTGGTAGGTTGTCATCCAGTTAAAAAAATAAATAAATAAATAAAAATAGGAAGGGAAAGCTAAAAAGTCAAGGTGTAGGTTGTTAGAAAACAAATCCAAAGTTGGATATGCTAAAAATTAATACTGACATTTTAAAATGAGAATATAGATATTTTTCTCTTTTCTGTAAAAAAAAATATTAAACTTACAGCTAACGGCAAATTAGCTTAACTTAGCCTAACACGAAACCTGTAAAAGGAAGAAACAAACAAAGAAAAACAGGTAACAGTATTTGTCCAACATTCATTAGTTTAAAAAGTTTACTGTGCCAGATTAAACACACCAAATGTAACGTGTTAATTGTGAAGCACTCATTTGCTAGATTACCTGTTTTTACCATGTCTGCTAAGCTAATACTAGCATAATTTCACATTAAATTTTCAGTTATAAGAGAGGTACAATATGGGTTTTTTTTAACATATTGTGTTATATCTCTTTCAAATAGCATAAGTATCTTTATCCAAATGTCAAACTATTCTTCTACAAGGCTAAATCTAAAAAAATCTTATTCACATTGTTAGTTCAATTAACCAGAAATACAGGTTTGGTCTAAAGTAGTTTGGCGCTGTCTTTCTGAAGCAGGCCGATGTGAAAAGTGTTCCTGGACTGTCACAATTAAACGCAGTCATCATTTACAATACAGGTTTTTGGCTTTGTCTCTTATGTGAAGAGACTGATGAAAATTTATTGATCTCATATTGAGAATATATACTGTAACTGGAAATCCTAAATATATTATTAGTAAATTGTTGACTACTAAGTCACGTTTTCTCTGCCATATGACTCTTCTGAAGCATTGCCTACTTCAGAGACTAAAATTATAAAATTGTGATAAAAATGATAAAGAACATGAAATGTAACAGTAAAATGCAATATTGTTGCAAATAGGACAAGAGATCAGTGCTGCAGAAAATCGTTACTCTTGGGGCTAAAATTTGGGAAATTAGAAAGGGAAATCTGGGCTACGGTAGGAAAGCTCTAGTAAACTGAGAACTAGCAGGAATTTTCTCGTGGTAATAATCTTGTCAGAAATTTGCTGAAATAAAGATGTTATTAAATATATCTATTAGAAAAAAATGCTTTTGATAAAAATAAAACATCAAATTTTACGATTTACACACAATCATACCACAGTTTGGTTGCTGCACAGCCCTTTGGCAGTCTGAACACAGCAATGCAGTGTCACAGTGTTATGATGACAAATCAGAATAGTGTGTTATTATGAGCTCACATTTCTCACTCATGCAACACCAGAATAAGTCGATGTGGTAGATGAGACGGGGCAGCCATGAAGAAATTAGGAATCTCTTTAAGTCACCAGTTATGGACAGAAGGAAAGTTGTTAAGTGACGCTGAAAATTTAAGATGAGACACGGTGAAAAGAAACTAAACACAGACTAAATGAAGGCATTACTATTGTGTCGTCAAGGTTTTCCTCAGCATGGGTGCCATTCTCCACAATGTTATCCTTGTCAGCTTGCTCTGCTTCCTGTACCAAGGAAATTACCAGGTTTAACACAATCGCGTTGACATTTAGTGTCCGGATAACTTGCCAAAATGTCCACGGCATGTTTTTGTTTCTTTTAGTCACTCAGATCTGGTTACCTACAAAACAAGTTCCACTGCATCTCATTTCAACACATTTAATTGTTAAAGAAAAAACAAATTTCAGTTTTAAATTTTAAATTAATTGAATTTCGAAAAATGTGTTCGAATCTCACATCAGTCAAAAGCAGATATATGAAGACTGGAACTTTGGATAAATACAGTTAGGGCCATAATTACCTCCACAGCGGATTTTAAACCAAACAATTAAGATATGATTGAAGTGCTAAACTTCCATTTCAGTGGTTTAACTAAAGCAATTTAGCAATTACAGCCATTTTTATACACACTTCCCCATTTTCAGAGTCTCAAAGGTAATTAACTGATTCATTTTCACAAATCACCTGCTTGCTTAACACCAAAATGCCAGGGACATCACAGACAGCTAAAATGGATGAATACAACTTTACAACATCGAGAACACTCGTCACAAGGTAGGCATCTCATTGTCAAGACCTACAGTCAAGAGACACCTTATTAAATGTAAATACAGAAAGTTTACAACAAGTTGCAAACCTCCGGTTACACTCGAGAGCAAGAAAGTCAGGTTAGAGACAGAAAACATCTAAAGGAGCCTGAACAGCTCTGAAAAAATTATTTGGACAGAAACAGAAACTAAGATGCAAAAGAATAATTGGAAGAAAAAAGTAAGTAGAAGGAGAGAAATACTGTAGATGTTATAACATGGGCATGTATGGCTGCCAGTACATCTGGGTCACTAGTGTTTATGATTATGTGACTGACAAAAGCAGCAGGATGAACTGTGAAGTGTACAGATCTGCACCCTCTGCTCAGATTTAGCCAAATGCTGCAAAACTGATCAAACAGCTTCACAATGCAAATGTATATCAACCCAAAGCGTGCTGCAAAAGAAACCCATGAGTTCCTCAAGGCAAAGAAACAGGATACTCACAATGGCCAAGTCAGGCATCTGAGCTCAACCCAACAGAGCAGCTTCGTAGTTATTAAATACAAAATCAAATGCAGAAGAAGCAACAAGTGAAGGTGGCTGCAGTAAAAAGCTGGCAGAGCATCTTAAACAAGGAAACACCACATTTGGTGATAACCATAGGTTCTACACTTCAGGAGGTCATTAAAAAAAAAAAACAACAATAAACAATCCTTATATTTAAAACTATACTAGTTGTCTGATTACTTTTGAAGATCAGAAAAGTGATTACTTTGTACAAAAAGGGCTGTTTTTCATAAACAGTTAACACTTAACTGATGTTAAACTTCCTGAATTAAAGCCAATAGTCTGCACTTCAATCACATTTTGGCTGATCTAAATCCCACTGCATTGGTGCAAAGAGTTAAAACTACAAAACGTGTAATAGTTCAAATACTTATGGACTAAAGTGCAGCCTAAACTAGGTACACACAACCTAAGTTCTGAAAGAATTTTCCTGTGATGAGCATAAACGTGGTTTAAATTATTTAATATATGAATAAAGGAAGAGACAGACTATTTGTTGCATCTTTGCTTTTACTTGTACGTTATGACAGCACAGATGTTCTTATTTAATTGGGAATTTTGTTGTACACATGAAGTTTTGAAAATTCATCATGGTATTTTCAGACTTTTTATTGTTTTATGAGCCATAAATGATAGGAACCCCCTCTTTATAAGAAGGGAGTTAAACCTGTTTGTGTCCAAAATGATAGCTGGATACATTGATTTCATCTGATTACAAACCTTTCAATAACAATAAAGAAGAGCATTTATTCTTCTGACATTCTTTTGATTCAAATTAATCACCTTAAACCTTCAAGTCTTACCTGGAAAACTAAAACATAACAATGTATCATAATGTTGCAATTCATATACAATCGATAAAAGAATATTGTGTATTGAAGAAAGTCAAAGCAGAATTAGTCCAAGCTGAATTGTTGGACTAACTCTGTTGTATCAGTACTGAAGTAAAAGATTAGAGATATTAGAGAAGAAATGTGGCTTTTGCATACGTTTTCCACAACATACAGTAGAAAATAATACTGACCTTTGACCCAGGAGGAGGGGGCAACCCCAGGAAGGTGTACACTAAATTGTCCTCTTTGGCATCAAAGAATGTGTCGTAGTCCTGCACAAGATTTAGAGATCTAAATCAATACAATAATTTACTTTCCCTCCAATTTTAACTTTGTTGCTACAGTTGTTCCATTACAGACATTAAAGTGCATTTCCTATGCTTTTCTCTCAATATTCTGAAGGTAGACACAAGTTAAAAACATTGGCGTATCTGAATGCGATGTATACTGACCCCACAATAACTCTCTTCGTTGAAGATTTGTGGGGGGAGGGGGATGCCGTTGGCTGGCTTCTTGTCCTCAGGGACGTTCTGCCTCATCCACATGCGGTTGTCCTCATTGCACGCGATGTCCAGTGGAGTGTAGTCAACTTTAAGAGCCTCCAAGAAGCCAACCACATCTTGCTGCTTCTTCTTGATCTGCGAGGCAGAGAAATCCTCCCTGATTGCACTGTATATGAGGAGAAGCCTGGAATATTTAACCTCAGGATGGCAGCTGCAGCATTCTGGGGTTTGGAATATCAACTAACATTATTTAAATGACAGCATGGATTCACATCTGATGCTCTACATAGTGCTCCCTTCCCGTCCTCTCCTACTAAGTAAACACAGAAACCACTGACAATTTAAAAGAAGTACGAGTTTTACTTTATTTTTGCATTATTTTTTTACTTGGTTTATTATTATTGTCTATGTAACAGGTGTCCTATCTTCTGTGTATTTTTTACTTATCTTGTTTTCATTTCGTATTTTTTTATTAATATTTATTGAGCTTTTCTACTTCATCTATCATAGTATATAAGTTGTTACAGGTTGTGTTTTACGCTGTGGCTTAATTTCATTTCCCACGCAACTATCTCAGGCTTTGCAGTCAATGGTCTCAAAATGAGAAAGCAGGTGAGCAGCAGTTGTCTGGGCAGAAATCCTTCGTTGATACCAGAGGTCTACCAGAGGCTTCAAGCTGATAGCAAGGCAATGCTAACTAAAAGAAAAAAGAAAAAAGAAAAAAAAACTCTTGTATGCAGAAGAGCATCTTTGAATGCACAGTACATCAAACCTTGAAGCAAATGGACTACAGCAGCAGAAGACCACACCAGGTGCCACTCCTGTCATTTAAGGACAAGAAATTGAGACTACGATTCACACAGGCTCATCAACTGGACAACAGAAGACTAAAAACATCGCCTCGTCCTGTGAGTCTTGAGTTTTTCTGCAATGTTCGAATAGGGTCAGAATTTAGTGTACACAAAATGCGTCCATCCTGCCTTTTATCAACAGTTCAGGCTGCTGGTGGTTGTGTAACGGATGTGGATCTCAGTACAATTAGCCCCCTTAGTACCAACTGAGCACCATTTAAACACCACAACCTACTGGAGTATTGATTGCTGCTGACCCTGTCCATCCCTTTATGACCTGGCAAGGTGTGCCTCATAAAGCAACTCTTGAGTGTATATTATCTGATCTTATTTTATTTTAAGCCCTTAAATAAGCAGAAACACAACATGATTGCTTTTTCCAGCTTCTCAGATGCCAACATATGCTATTATCCTTGTGTTATATGGTGTTGAATGACTAATAGTTTTCTGTTTTGGTCTGTTAATAATCCATAATCCATGTTTCTGGGCTCTGGTGAAGGTTGAATGTCTTCATGTTTGATCTTTTTACTTGTATCTACATCTGCTGACAGATCATATTTAAACTGATAAAAAAAAAACTGATAAAAAAAACTGATAAAAAGTGTAAAAATGAAAAAATAAATCAATAAAAAAATACAAACAGCAGGGTCGAAAAAGGGACAAATAAGAGGATAAACAACGATGCATTTTCTAAGAGTTAATGAGGACTTTTGTGGTCAGTCATTGAGTGTCATCTGCTAATACGGGTAGATGACCATACCCGCATGAAACAAGTCCACTCAAAGGATAAACCCCAAGTAGTGTGTGTTGTGATGCAACACTGCTAAGTGGGCCCCAACCACTTTAGCATGGCCAAAAGTGGATGTAAGAAATAAATTCACCCTCCCCTCTGCTGTTATCATCCCACCTAACATATACACCGTTACCTCAATGCGAGTCTGACTTAAAGTTTCATGTTAAATCTCTTTTTGGGGGAGACACCGACGTCAAGCGTCTGCATGTGGAGGTCCTTAACATGCAAAAAAAAACAAAAAAAGAAAAAACACCTTTGGGAGCCCCTGTTCTAGAAAGCTCTGCATATAAATCACATCGACCTGCGAGACAATTAAACAAAGAACCAGAGCCTCTCAGGCGTAAACTCAGGCACAAATCAAACCGTGCACTTGCCTGCAGTGTTTAGATATGCCTAATAAAAGTCAAGTCACATTCATTTCGAGGTTTAACGCTCTCGTGTCACTGTATGAGTGACAGTCCTGGCCGGTCACAACCACAAAAGTTCACTTTAAGAGAAATAAATCCTTTGGAGTAAAAAGCTTACCGCTGTGGATCCCGACGAAGACGCGAGGAAAACTTTAATGACCATTTTGCTACAATTTATTTTGTCGACTATGCAACAAGCGGTCTCTTAAAGGAGCAGGCAGCCTTCTCTATTATTAGAGCACACCCTGGACGGAGACATAGCACAGCGATCACTCACTCACTCACACACACACACGGTTATTTTTGTCTCCAGGCTCCATTAGTGAGGGTCGGCCCGTAGGGGCGCAGCACTACTCACAAACACTGATTGGCAACTTCAGCTGTCTGTCGGTGAGGGAGGGGGCGCAGTGGAGCTGGTTCCCAGCGTCCTGCTGAGTGCATATATGGACAGAAATAGCACTGACCAGCACTATAGGCTGACAGGTTTTCAAACCCGGTGTTGTGCCAAAAAGTGATCGGCTGCCAAAAACTGTATTCCGATGTTTCTGTATGTTTTCTTTGCGTGACACCTTTGCTTATATTGGTAAAGATATTGTGGTGAAAAGGTTTTTACAAAGGGATCGTACATAAAATAAAGAAATTAAGTGTTTTTGCAAGTAATCTTTATAACTCTGTGTTACTTTACCTACATGTTAATCCTAAAAATTATTAAAATATCTTATTGGAGCTGTGATGTTATATCTGTTGCGATTTTTGCTTCCCTCTATCAGATCTCTCTTGACAAAGACATTTTTAATGTCAGTGAGAATTTTGCCTGCATTAAAGGCTATATAACCAATATAACCAAAAACTGATTCGTAAGAGATGTTTGAGATGTTTGAAAGATTATAGGCGGTACTGCAAATTTTGGTATCGATCCAATACCAAGTAAATAAAGGGCTAGTATTGTCGATACCAAGATCAGTATATGCTCATTTATGAGAATAATCATCATCAGATTGCAAATTCTTAAACACATTTTAATGACACTGTGATCACTATCATTGTTATTTTACACAATATTAGTAAACACAATAAACCAACAATTCCGTGTTTCATGGGGTTTTTGGAGATGTGTTGCAGATGGGCTATAGGCTATAAATAAAATAGACTTGACAGTCAGTCAGACATTTTTTTTATAATGTTTGAGGTATAGTTTTTCATAAAAAAAACTGCAGTAATTTAAGACAGCTCAGTGCAATACTGACCTCAGAGGATAGAAAGAAAGTATCGATCCTATCATGCTAGTGTACCACTACCAGCGTCGGTATTGATGTCATCGATATTTGGCTCGATCCGCCAACCTGTACCTTTCAGTGTGAAATCCTTTCTAAATTACATTCTGTTCAGTTTTTCCACATGAAGTTTTCATTTTCTAAACTTTAGTTTCATTGTAAGAATGGAGCCAGCTCGAGTAGGCAAATAACAAAGTCTCATACTCAATAACCCTGTTAGAGTCCTTGAACAGTTTTTTCTTCTTCGTGAGTGGTCTACGTTCCCTTTCATAAGAAATTAAGGACATTGAACATTTATTTTAAAAGAATCTCCTCTACATGCAGGACTACAATGGTCTTTTTTGTTTGTTTTGTTTTTTGCTCAGTTTTTTTTCTAGTTACCGTCACTTTATTGTTTTCTTTTTATTTTGTTTCTTTACCCGCTGGGTACCATGGCAACCGTGGACGTACATCTACAAAAAATAATAAATAAATAAAAAGCCCCAGTAACGAATGGTGAACGAATTCTGTTCGTATATAAACAAACTATAGTTTACCCTGCTAAACATTACAGCCTGAAACAGAGAGAGTTTGAGAAGATAGCCACGCATAGAAGCAACTTAGGTTGGTTTATTACCGTTATGGCTGGTGCATTATTTATTTTACCTCGTGTAAATTCTTATTCATGCCAGTCTGGCTTTGAACTGTGCTTTTTCTCTCAGGTAAAGAGGATTCGTGAGTGGGAGGTAGCAGGGCCTGATGATGCAGAAGGCTGTTGCCCGCGAGAAGCAGGATGAAGGTATGACCAGCAGCTCTGACACCTCTATATGGTCCAGTCCCTCCGGATCATACAGTAGCTCTGATGATCCACAATACACCTCTGTGTGTGAAGACAAAGCAGATGCCATCCCGTCATTTCAGTGGCAAGGATCAAAGCGGTCTAGAAGACTTGTATTTGGTAGTTTTCATATCTCAAACATCTCAATATCTAAATATTTTATATACAATTCCCTCTACCATGAGTAAAGTGTTTGGGGGTGTCCTTCCTCTTCAGGTAATAAAGCTCATGGGGGCAGCATGCAAAAGACAAACCCTACTACAAACTGCTATATGGTTAGCTTGCCTCCAATCAGGTCCCTGGAGACTCCAAAGCCAAGCCTGAAGCGCATCAGGGAGCTTGAGAACAAGGTGTGGAGTCTGCAGCAGCAGCTGTGTGAGTCCAGGGCGGAGAACAAACTCCTGAAGAACGTGCAACATCGCCACATGGTGGCACTGCAGCACTTCCAAGACTCAGAGAACAGTATTGCACAGGTGGGTTTGTGGTTTCTGCCACTAGTCTCTCTTGCTTTTCAGATTCATGTTATCAATTAACTGTATGTGTACAAAATACTGCTATTTTTCCTCATCTTTCTCTTTATAGTGCCTGTATACGTCCCTCTCACAAATAACATCAGTGTTTCTGTTATTGTCATAATATTGGCCATATCTGTTCACAGATTGAAACCAAGCACAAAAACGAGGCCAGAGCTCTTCAGCATTTGCTCCGTGAGACCCGCACCTGCCGTGACAACCTAGCAAGGCAGCTGAGGAGCACAGAAGACAAAATGTTGCACACAAGGGAAGCTCTCCAGCACCTGCAGCTGCTCAGCCAAGATCACAACCTGCTGGAGCGGGAGGAGCTCACCCTGAGGCTGGCCAAAGCCTCTGCTGAGCTGGAGGAGAAGGACAAGAAGATACTGGTACGAAGGAGCAGAGAGTAGAATGATGGTGGACGATATAGCATCCTAAAAAAATATGTTTTACATTAAACATTTGCTTCTTTATTGTCTCTTCACTCTATTCTAGGACATGGAGAAGAATTTTGAGTTGTGCCAAGCTTCATTAAAGCGGCAAATAGTCACAGAGCAAAGAAAGATGAAAGAGGCGAGAAAAATATCCATCCACCTGCAACAGCAAGTATATCAGCTCACCAGAGAACTTGCGGTAAGCTGAAAGAGATGTGTGTGGTCATTCTGAGGCACCTCCCCCTGTCGCCATATAAGTCTGGGAGAAGAAAAAGTGAAAAAGTCTTGATTAGAAAAATAGCCAATGATCAACTGTAGAAACACAAGGTCTTATGCTTGGGTGTTACTAGTTAAACTCACTTGTCATTTTTCAATAAATAAATATATATTAAAAAAAATATGTAAACAATTTAAAGGCGCTGACTGATGATCGGTGTGCGGTATGTTTTTTACTCATACAGTACAGAGAGCGGGAAATGGGAAAACGTAACATTTACTCCCACCGATTCCAGAACGGGTCGAGCAATAGAGGTAAAAAAACAAAAAAAAACAATCTGCCTTATCGCAGCTTGCTCATGCTTGATTGGCTGTCTGAGTGGTTTTGATTTTTAGGCAGGGAAAACAAGATGGTTCAAACAGATGGATTAGGCCTGCTCCCCATTGGCCCTGCAAGTCTTTTGGAGAATGACTATTCAGAGCCTGTTCAGAGACTGGAGCAGCAGGAGAGCTCTGTGAACTGGGTATATGGTTCAGTTACTCAAAAACAGAACAACCTTCTCACATACCTGTCTTTTATCATTTTTAAATTATTTTATCAGCAAACCAATTTAAAATCTTTCTCTTGTTTCAGGGTCGTTACGGTCCAGCGCAGAAGTTTTCAGTTATAAAACGTCTAGAGAGAAAGGGTCCTGCTCATTTGTCTTTAAAAGAGAATCACCAAGACGATGCAAAGATATCTGCAAGTAAGTTACTCAATCCTAACAAAGTGACAATTCTCTAACAATATACAATCAAGAAACCAAACACTGTAAAAGGGGGAAAAAAGAACGGTTGAAATCGTAGTAACAGAGGCATAAGTTGTTTTGGCATTTTGTCAGGTTATTCAGTATTTTTCAAATTGAAATATTTGCTTTCAGATTGCAGTGACATCAGGAGTTCAGACAACAGTCCAGAGCCTCTAAATGAAGAAGATTGTATCAAAGAAAAGGAGGAACCAGAACCCACACGGGCGCTCAATGGACCTGAATCCATAATAAAACATCAGTTTTCAGACATCTGTTCAGATGAGAGCCCAGAAAATGAAAATAACAGAGAAGCCCCTCAGGTGCAGGAAGAGACGCGACAAACACAGCATGAAAGCACAATGGCCTTCACTTTAGAGAGGTGTCTGAATCGAGCAGCACCGAAGAGAAAAGAAAGCAGATTCCCCAGAATCAGAAGCAGCTACACCTTCAAACAGACCACAGAGAACCTGCACTGTGGAAGACCAGCATACAGCACTGAAAGCTCTGAGGTGGAGATCCTCAGTAGAATTCCTGAGCTTCATCTACCAGATGAGAAAACTGATAGAGGTGGAGCACACAGCTCTTAGACTGAATAAAGTGCAATTGAAAGGAAAGTGCAGGCTAGCTCATCATATGATTATTATGCAGCTACCATAGAGAAACTCCTTTCTGCATCATAACACACACAGTATGACTTTCTGAAACGTATTAACAGCCTGTAAACTAATGTTTTTCTACTCCAGACTCTTTATCTCAGTCGTTATTTCATTACAGTAATGTTTTACTGCCCAATTTGCTTTGGTTGGCTCATTCCCAGGTAAAGGTAAAATAACAAAACACATCTTTTTTTTTTCTTCTTTTTAATAAAAATTAATTTCCACATTTCCATACCACTGTTTCAAAGCAATATACACACAATCAAATAACCACATAATTATAAAACAATGATAACAATGATAACACTTTTTATAGTAAACTTCTGCTGCAATTCGAGATCACCAAAATGCACTGCATTATTTTAACGTTCTTTGCTAGGAACAGCTGACTGAAAACGACAAAACAAAAACTGCAGCGTTAGTCATCAAAGGAAACTGTTGAGCACAGGATTAGGAAACACTCTAGCTGACAGCATTCAGAGCCAGAGTAACTACTTTGTTGCAAACCACCAACCAGCATGTGATTCCTACTCCACCTGAAAAAGAAAAACAACAAAACAAACAGCTCATTGATGGAGCTTGACTCCAGGCGGAAAAGAACAGCACATATTGATACACTACATGCATCATATTGTATAAAATCTACATATTGCAGAATACCTGCACTGAAGTGAAATGAATTAGGTTTTATTATCAGTGGATAATAAAATCATCATGATTTCTATTAAACTATAAGCTATGTGTAATTTTGTTTGTTTGTTTTATTAATAATGAAGCTGTTATGGATTTACCATCCACTTGATTAGGTATACCTATTCAACTGCTCCTCAACACAATTATCTATTCAGCTAATCACATGGCAACAACTCCATGAATTTAGGCATGAAGCTACGTGAAACATGACATGCTAAAGTTCAAAATGGGAACCAGAATTGGAATGAAAGCTGATTTAAGTGTCTCTGAATGCGGCATGGTTAGTGTCAGATGTGTTGGTCTGAGTATTTCAGGGATCAAGCACACTATACCCATCTTTTAATGGCTGTTTCCAACAGAATAAAATGCCATGTCACAAATCATCTCAAACTTTTTTTAAACATGACAGTGAGTTCGCTGTACTCAAATGGCCTCCACGGTCACCAAATCTCAGCTCAATAGTGCAGCTTTGGAATGTGGTAGAACAGGAGAGTCACATCAAGGACGTGCAGCTTGTGTGCATTCAGTGTATACTACAGGCTATGCTATCTAACACAAACCTGCCACTCCTGTTGGGAAAGCCACGAGGCGCTCCACGGGAGCAATCCATCTACTTGGTACCACAGTCACTGGATCAGAGTAATACTTCCATATCAATGAAATCATCAGCGCAGCCTGACAAGAAAAAACAAAACAAAACAACAAAAACACAAAAACAGACATATACTGTCAATAACGGCAAATAAGCTGATTCAGCTACCAAAAAACTATTATCTGGAGGTTTTGGCCAGTGCTATAGACTCACAACTAAATTAAAATACATTCATGCTTCTACTCGAAACCTCCACCTACCTGCAGTATGTAAAAAACAATGCTCACAACCCACTTCATTTTGGCTTGTTGAGCGGTTCTTGATTTGACTACAATAGACAAGAAATATGCAACTGTTAGTCTCAACATATTAATTTTTCTTTATTTTGTAGTGATACTGCCAGTTCCTTTAAATCAGACGGAACTGTCATTTTGTTTCACTTTATTATTTGACCATCCCATGTCCAGGGAACTGAAACCAGGATAAATTCCTTTTTTTAACCAGTCACAGGGTAACAGGGAAAGTATTAGTCCATTCTTTATATGGTCTTTGTTAATACCAACATTACACAAAGTAAATCTTTGCTTAAATGTAAACAGACAGCACTATTACTTTTTATTCAAGAATCAGGTGAAGACTAGAGTCAACACTTTGAGAATCACAAGACATTGCGGTCAGAATAAAATCAAAATAGAGAAGAGCCTGGGTGTAATGCTGATTGTACAATAATTTCAAATTGACAATGTGCAGGTTTTGGAATAGGTCAGCAAAGAAACAGTCTTTAGCAGCCTTTGTATTGCTAAGTAAGTTATCACACAGAATAGACAGTGTTTCTTTACCAGATTGTCTGGGGTCAACCAACCAAAACAAGAGAGAATGAACAAGAGAGGTGAAGAGAAGAGGGCAGGCAGGTTGGAGTGGATGGAGACAAGTGTCAGGGGTGATTTGTGACAGAAGGACAGCAACAAGAGTGAAAGGGAAGGTTCATAAGATGGGAGTAAGATCTGCTATGATGTATTGTTTGGAGACAGTGGTGCTGACAAAAAGACGGGAGCTCAAGCTGGTGGTGGCAGAACTGAAGATGGGAGTGACCAAGATTGACAGGTCTGCAGTCTGGAGATATGGTTAGAGGCAAGCTAACATGGTTTAGACAAGGTTTTAGACATGTGCAGAGGAAGCTGAGTGGATATGCTGGATGAAATGATGTTTAATATGGAGTTGCCAGGCAGGATGAAAAGTGGAAGACCACAGAGAAGATTGATGGATTCAGTGAAGGAACACATGCAGAGGGTTGGTGTGACAGAAGTGGATGCTAATCCTGAGGCTATGGGGCCAAAAACAGTTACTTACCTCTAAAATCCCCCAAATATGTCTTCTGACTGATAATTTATAACATGTAAATCTACATTAATAGACATTCACATCTGTGGAAGACATAATATATGCCCTTTCAGAGTACCTACTACATATTTTCTGCTGTGTTCCATTAAGAAAAAGCAATTAGTTTTAACTTTTTAGAGCTCATCACTCTGTTGCAGTAAACTTCATTTTGAGGCTCCTGTCACACCATCTATCCTCTGAATGTCAGTAGGCACTTTTAAATCTCACCATGTGTTTTCAGCTTGTCTGTTGTCTTGTTGATTTTGCGCTCCAGTCTGGCATATCTAGCAAACTCATCCATCATGCTAATGGAGGACTGCTCCTTCTTCATCTCTTGGATTTCAGCCCTCATCTCACTCTCCTGCTCAGCATCTTTCTGCACCATCTTTGAGAGCTTGAAGAAGGGGGAAAAAATACTATCACTGAGCAGCCTGGGCCTGATTGAAATTTTTATAATTACAGTAGTAGTCCCTATTAGGCAGTCTAATCAGCACCTACGAATGTCAGTTTAACACTTTCCATGAGGAAACCTTTCGAGCTACAAACAATCTTTAGCCGTAAAGCTAAGCTGTAAACAGTTTCTTAACATTAAAGCAGGACATTTGGCGATAAAGGAGGAAAAGGAATCCCAGTTAAATGCAGCAACTACTGGATTCTCGGTGAAACCCCACCCTCTGGTTGTAGCTCAGCTATAACTGAGGAGGTACAGCAGCTATAAGTTAGCTTGACAGACGGCTAAGCTAGTCAACAACAATCCACCGTGTGTCCGACGAGGACACAGATAATAATACACCGGCATTCAAACAACTTTAACAACAATCATATATGCAAACAATAACTCCTACTCACGAAGGAAGATATGGTCGGCAGAAGGATTTTCATAAGATTGCAGAGAAAAACCGAGCCAAGCACCAGGAGCCATGCATAACCGGCCGCCATGTTTGTTTCCTTTCTCCTCCACTCAGCCTCCTCCTTGTTGCAGCTGTTGAGCGACTGGACTGCTCGGTGCACTGACTTTAATAATTATCCCACTAAAGACGGGACATGCTGTTAGTAATTACGACTCTCTTTAAACACTAAAATAATGTAATGTGCATATATATGGCGTCCTCTATAATAAATGACTGGATAGGAAAATGGGGGAAATGCAGGATCTATTTATTTATTTTTATATTCTTCTTTGTTTATGTAAACTATATCTCAAACTCACCATTTTCCATGCATTATTCAAACCCTACACGTACACACACAACTAATACACCCTGCGAGCAGGTTATAAGCGGTTATAAAGTTAGATAAGGCCTGGATTGACTGATTGGCACACTGTCCTGCCCACACAGGTGAAGATGTTGTGTTTCAAAAATATGCTGCCTCATCCTCAAAGCCAATCACAGGAAGCAGTGGGCGGGGGCTCTGTCTTCCTGGTAGGTTGGTAGGATAAGGGATAAAATATACCGAGAGGGGGATCCAATCCGGTTTGAGCTAGTTCTGGTACTGCTCGGACGTTTATGTTAAGTTACAGACTGCAGCTGGTGGAGGTGTAGGCAGAGGTAGCTGGGCTGACAAAACAACAACAAGTCCTCCTTTTGTTTGTGTAACTGTTAAAAGAAAGGCAGTGTTCCCTTTTTTTTAATTCCTGCCGTGCAACCTAAGCAACAATGGGAAGGAAGAAAGTAAGTGGAAAGAAAATGTGTGCTTTACGTTTGGGTCGGCATGATGCAGAAATAGCGTTTTAAGAAACTGTAGCAGTTGTTTTGTGGTGTTAATACACGTATGCAGGAGCAATGCAACACGCTACAGCGTGTCCATGTGCGTGCCGTGGAGTCCACCTTTTCCTGCGCTCAGGTCTGTCTTGTCTCACTCGGCTGATACAGGGAAGTGGCGCCTTTTTACTTAGCACTGCTTTTTTCGCTCTCTTCCCCCAGTCCAGTTTAAAGCTTCTGTTTTGTAAAATGTGTGCCCGGCTGAGTTTTAATAATCACCAACTGTGCGCTGAAACAAAGGGGTGTAACCACCGTCGAGGCGCACAGGTTGGCATTTCGAGGAAATTTCTTTCGTAATTGCCTCCTTATTTATTTATTTATTTACTTGTGCTCTGGGTTGCACGCGTGCCGTTTCAGGTACCAGCTGCACCTTCGGTCACGTGTCGCGTTTTTTAGCCGCATTTGCGGCCAAATTTGGCGGAGATTTTGACCTCAGGCGAGTGTGCGCGCACTGGAAGGCTGGTGCGCGTCACTCCTGAGGTGTGCAGTCCCTTCTCCCCCTCTCTCTGGTTAGGCTCGTTAATGGCAGTTGATGGATCCTCGACAGCACAGCGACACATCTGGCCGTTTTGATGTCAAGCGGAGCTCTGTTAGTAATGGAGGATGGTCTTATTTTTTCAGTTTAGTCACGCTGGTGATATAAACAGTGACAGCAGGCGGAGCGAGTCCACTCCTTATTTGTTGTGTCCACGGAGCTGCTGTTGCTCTGTGGGAAATAAACTGGCACCCGCCACATCCTTTGAGTCAGCTCAAAAACGTGATCCTCCCCACGTACAGATTGCATAATTTCTTTGTGACTTGAAGGGAAGGAGAAGTGCCCATCCCCCTCACCATCCCCACCTCTTTGCGTTACACACCCACTTTAGCTCACTCATGAATGGTTGTTGGTTTTGGCTCATTATGTTTCTTCCCCCCTCACTCTCTTGTCTTTTTCAGGCTACCACTGATGCAGATGCAAATGCAGAGGTTAGTATTTCCACTAATAAATTCAAAACTAATGCTGATACCCAGAATAAGATTGATGCTTCATAGCCAGCTCAGTGCATCCCAGTCATAATCGGAGTTTTGAGACCAATCGTAAATTGGATGGGTTTTAAAGTGCAAGTTACATTGCGTTTGTGCAGCCCAAATTGTTCTTGTTTACCTGGTTTGTCTTAAATGAGTGCACAGGTAAAGAGTTTAGTGTTTCTAATGCCCTAAAACAGTAAACTATTCGTTCAATTTATTTCATTTAGGGAAAAAAGGAAGGACAAAAAAATACTATACAGAATAAAGCAAATTACACTCTGATAATGCTCCACCTATGCTGATTCAGTATACATATTGAATAGGAGCAGGAAGAAGTGCACACTTGTTTAATTCCACCCCTTCTCCTTAAGTTGGCAATTAATATTTATCCAGCTTCCTTACTGATTATAAACCTAAATAATAGCAATATAGATATTACTAATGCTAAATTTGCAGCATGAATCAAAACAAACTCCCATAATGCAAAGTTTCATCTTTGCTCCCTTAAAGGACAAATAATGAAGAGCATACAGAGTGCAATTATATCCACAGTGTGTCTTTGTCCCCTGTCCTGTAACCTCGAACCAGTCACGGCAGATGGCCCCACCCCTCCTTTAGCCTTTCTGTCGAGGTTTCTTCCTGTTAAAAGGTAGTTTTTCATTCCCACTGTCATCAAGTGCTTGGAAATTGGGGATTGTCTGATTGTTGGGGTTTTCTCTAGTATTGCAACATCTTTACATTACAGTATAAAGCATCCTTAGGTGTCCTGTTGTGATTTGGTGGTATGTAAATAAAATGGCATGTCTGAAACACATGCTGGAAGTTACTACTTCCCTTTGTGGGCTCATTGTGTCATTGTAGCACCTCTCATTGAGTAACATGGGGGTTTGTTTTCCATCATAAATGCTTGGGGGGGGCTTCTCTTCCGGAGTGCTTAACTGAATTAATGTGGCCTTCTGTGTTTTGTTTTGTTTTTCTTTGTTTTTTCTTCAGCCAAGGAGAAAGTCTCAGAGGTTATCAGAGGTAAGTCTACAAAGCTCAGCAACGGCCTTGACAGATTAATCTGTGGATTTTCTCATTGCTGTGTTTGTAATTTTGGAACATCATTGTGTGTTACAGAAAGAGACGCAACCAAAACCCCAGCCAGAAAAGACAAAGGTAAAAGCCAAATCTTACCATTGCACACGTCCGCTATAACCACATAAAATGCACAGCAGGTTCATGATGCTTGGTTTGTTAATGACACCACAGGCACCCCCCAAGACCAAAAAGGTGAAAGAGGCAGCCAAGACAGAGGAGAAAAAAGAAGAACCTCAGGCAGAAAAGGAAGAGGTGCCAGCAGAAAATGGAGAGGCCAAAGCTGATGAGGTATTCTAAGTTTCCCTCTTTTGTGAGCGCCACGTGACATTTACACTGTCGCAAAACAGAACAAAATAAAAGTGTGTTTTCTCCGTTCTCCAGCAGGCCGCAGCCGCAGACGAAAAGGACGCCAAGGCTGAAGAGGAGGAGAAAGCAGCAGAGTAGTCGTGTTGCCACTGAACTAACTCGTCAATGCTCCCTGTACCTCCTTTGTTGTAAAATGCAGAGAATATTTTTATCTACTATTTTCTTAAGACAGCAGTGTTTTTAGGGATATGATTGCTTTTTTTAAGAATAGTACGGTTTCCATTCAGTATCACGGCTTCTGTGAAGGGAAAGTTTATTGTGTCCTTGTGATCTTTTTGTCTTGTGTTTAATTTCTTTGTCTTTTTTAAAGCCTGTTTACCCGAGACATTTCAGAGGTACCATTTTGGAACTTTGTAACCGGTTTTGGAAAATGCATCAAAATGCTGTGCTGGATGGGTAATCGTTTGAAAGTTGTGTTCTATGTTAAGTAATGCCTTGCTCATGTTCATTATCATCACAGGAAGTCATTGGGTTAATTTTTATGTTATTGTGTATTTGAGACCAATACGATTGATCCATGTTTTCTGCTTTGCTTTAAACTAAATGCATTAGAGTTGTACTTCTGACTTTTTTCCTATTGTGAAATCTGTTTGGTTTGGGGATTTCTCTACTAATGTAGTTTCCTCCTTTAAACAAAACAAGTTTCCTTTTGTTATAAATGGTATAAAATACCAATTAAAGTGAGGACTGATTTAACCATGCATTTCTCAGCCATTGTGTACTGTATTTGGCCAGAGGGATTTATTTTAAATGACCTATTTCAGATGTTTCTATTGTAAACCACTTAAATTATAGATATTAGAAATTCCTCAAACTAAAATGCCTAAGTCACTAATTGTTGCTTTTTCATTTTTTTTTAGATTTCTCAGTTAATTTCATAAGAGAATCACTGAAGATCACTTTATAAAGATGGTGACATTTACACTGATCAGGAATAACATTATGACCACAGGTGAAGTAAATAACAGTGATTAAATCTCCATCATAGCACCTGATGGTGGGTGGGTTATATTAGGGAGCAAATTAACATCTTGTCCTCAAACTCGATGTGTTGGGGGCAGGAAAAATGGACGAGCGTAAGGATTTGAGCGAGTCTGTCAAAGGGCCATATTGTGATGGCTAGATGACTGGGTCAGTCGATCTCCAAAACTTCAGCTCGTGTGGGGCATTACTGGTCTGCAGTGGTCCATGGTGAACCAGCAACAGGGTCATGGGTGGTCATGGTTAATTGATCTGCGTGGTAAATGAAGGCTGCCTTGTGTGGTCAGATCCAATAGATGAGTTGCTGTTGCTCACATTGCCAAAAAGTGTTAATGCTAATTTTGATGGAAAGGTTTCAGAATACACAGTCGGTTGCTGTTTGTTGCATATGGTGTTTAATAACCTCAGACTTTAAAGGCTGCCCATGCTGACCCCCAAAAGTACCAACAATGGGCGCTTGACCATCAGAACTGGAGCACAGAGCAATGGAATGGAGGTGGCTTGGAAACAGTATTCCCAGATAGCTATGGGCTCTTTCAACAGGATAATGAGCCATGCCACACAGCAGAATGATTTGAGGAGCATGAGTTTGAGGTGTTGACTTGACCTCCAAATTCCCCAAATCTCAATTCAATCAAGCATCTGTTTGATGTGCTGGACAACTGTCTGGTCTATGAAGGCCCCACCTAGCATCTTGCAGAACAAAAATGACCTATTGCTAACATTTTGGTGCCAAATACCATAGCACACCTTCAGGGGTCTAGTTGAGTCCATGCCTCAATGGGTCAGAGTTATTTTGGCATCGAAAGGGGGACCAACACAACATTAGGCACATCGTGTTACAACTGATCAGTGTAAATATCTGACCATTGTGCTTGGGGTGTTTGGTACTGAGCTCCTGAGCCCCTACTGTACACACAGTTTGGCCCAAGATTTTCTATGTAATTATTGATTATGTACGTTCAAAGTTGCATTTGCTCATCAGCTAAAAATAATTAAGATCTTGAACCTTGACAGTGGCACAGAACCACTTTAAAAAAAAACTTTTGCAATTCTCCACATAGAATAGAATGCCCTTATTGTCACTATACAGTTGTACAATGAGATACAGAGCATCTCCTACGCTATATACATATGGACAGTATTAACATAGGGAAAAAGATATATATA